TGCTAGCCGGAGTTAATCCACAACAGCAGGGGAGGCCTGGCCTCACGCACGCTTTGTGCTGGGGTGTTGGCGGGCGTGCGTTTCGCGGGAGTTGAGGCTGTAAACGCCAGCCGCGTCCACGGGCTGGAGTTTAGCCTCACCGCAGTAACACCGCCGCCTCTGCTCGTTTTGCAGGCCATTGAAAACATCGACGCCTTGGCTAGTCTCGACAGCCTGTTCCTTGGGAAGAATAAAATCACCAAACTTCAGAACTTGGATGCACTGACCAACTTGACCGTGCTCAGCATACAGGTACTGATGTGTACTTTGTACCGTCATGTTTTGAACAGCCGTGCTCACGTCAGCCACCTTGTAATTTGGGATCAACTCTTCTGGATCAGCGGGTCTTCGGTGTTTGAGTCAAACTCCTGTGCTGGGAGAAAGTGTGATATTCTCTGTGCTGTCTCTTCTCATCCCTTCGTATGAAGTGAGATGGACAGCCACTGGTAACATGAGAAAACAGATGTGTTTATGGAAGAGAGAACAGGAAATCAATGTTATCCCGTTTCCTTCCTGAAATACCATTTTCTAATACATTACAGTAGCATTGAAGGAGTTACAGCAGGGAAGTTGTTACAACGGCAGTGGGCTCAGTGTCACTACCTTCTTCTTGAAGAGGGAAGAAAGGTGAACACGCCTGTGCTACATGAGATCTGTCCTTAATGAGCTGCTGGAAAGTTCCTTCCCTTTTAAAAGGTGGAATAAATGATTTCTTGCCTTGAGTCTCCTTCTCATCCACATGACAATGCTAATGCATTCTAGTATCACTCACAGCTGTTGGTAAGAAGGTTGTACTCGTTACAGGTTGTACCTGTAGGCACCGTCCTTCTGTAGGACGTAGAGAACCACGTGGAGCGGGGTGTGTTGGATGAAGTGGTGTAACTTTCCTTCTGACCGTTCCATTACAAAGACCCCCAAAGTGTGGGCCTGTTGTTTCTAAAGACACCGAGGGGAAAACTTTCAGGCTACAACTTTTGATGGGCAGGTCAGAGTCTGGTTCTACTAAACGTACAGACTTCGGCTCCTGTGGCACTTCCTTGTGCATCGGTGGTACGGAGATCAAACGAGCTGAGCTCCCGGGAGCAGACTGTGTCCCCTTCCCGTCCGTACTTCAGGGAAATGCTTTTACTCCAGTGGCTCATTAAGGTTTTGGTTTGTTCTGAGTGAACTTAAATCTGCTGTTACACTTTCAGTATAACCGTCTGACCAAGATTGAGGGGCTGCAGAGCTTGGTGAATTTGCGTGAGCTGTACCTCAGTCACAACGGCATCAAGGTCATCGAGGGACTGGAGAACAATGTGAGCGCACCCTCTTGCTAACTCCGTGACAGCATTGCTGCCCTAAGCTCTTCCCGTTAGTGACTGTGCACTTCTGGAAGCTTTTATTCTCAGCTTCCCCACATACATGTGGGTCCTGAGTCTCTTGAAAAGAGCACAGCAATTATTTGTTACGTGAAGTTATCTTGTGTGGGCGAAGCTGCTCCAGAGCCTCAGTAGAGTTGTCTTCCTGACCTGAGGAGGGGAAGCAGAAAACGTGGTTAATGCAGCAGCCTGGCTGCTCTTCAGCAGTGGAACGACCGGCAGCCGCGGTGGCTGTCTCTGCTACAGCCTTTCAGGCGGCAGCTTGTGGATACCCAGGAGTTGTTCTCAGCAGGAGCTGGGAGTAGGGAGACAGGCCGCGGCCCGTGGCTCGCCATCCTGTCAGCATGCGTGGGTAGGTTTCTGGAGAGGGCTGGTTTCACAGAGGCCTGTAGCGTTTTCATTCCCGCCCAGCAGTAGGTGACGCTGTCGGAGGGCAGAGACGGTCTGGAACGGAGGTGGCTGTGTGCAAGGCAGAAAAAAGCTTTTTCTAAAATGCTTGTTTCCTGCTGCAGCAAGTTTGTTCAGCTCTGCTGCTTGGGAGGACACGTTCAATCTGATTTTTAATGGATTCCTCTTGTTAACGTACGGCCAGGAAAGCTCGCTCTTTAGGAGCCCTTGGCTAGCAGTTGCCATCCGACTGGTAATGGCTTTCATGTTTGTCACGTGGCCTCCAGGCTGGGCCTGAAAGGAGCAGAACGGGGAAGGTGAGAGGAAATTCGGTCTAACGTGTTGGTGTTTGCTTGTCTAGAACAAACTCACGATGCTGGACATCGCGTCCAACAGAATCAAGAAGATTGAAAACATCAGTCACCTAACGGAGCTGCAGGAATTCTGGGTAAGTTCCCTGTACGGTGGCAAAGGAACCCTTGGGAGGGAGAGGAGTGTCTTGGAGTAGAGTCGTCTTGTCCCAGTGACCAAGGTCTCGGAGAGTGCGCATGGATGGAGTGGGATGGTTCCCCTGAGGAGAAGGTGGAGATTAAAATCCTCTGCAGAGCTTTGCTTAGCGGTGAGGAGCCTGTTACCTAGGAACTGGGCCCTGCCTTCCTGCGCCTGGTGGTTATGGAACGGCCCCCCCGGGGTTTGCAGCTCCCCCGTTCCCTGCAGTGCGCGTGGCAGCGTAGCGGGAAAGCTGGTGCCGTCTCGCCCCTGCACCAGCGCGCAGGACCTGTTCAGAGCAGAGTCACTATGTTCATGTCCTTACCAAGGTGAAGAAAACGAAACCGTTTTCTGGTTTACTTCGTTCCTGTGAGGTCTCTCCAGCTGTTTAGGGTCACTTCTCTCTCTTGGTGGCAGCCCAAATAGCTAAGCCCTTAGTCATTCCCAAGTCTGGTGGGGAAATCTGCCTCCTGCAGCATCGATGCCCTGCCAGCGGGAGGGAGCTGTGGGCATGTCTGGGGGGAAAGCAGCAGGTGCTCCTGAGCTTTGGCCCTTCGGCTGAGAGCAAGAGTTGTGTTGCATAGTGCCAGTCGCTTGGAGTTCCGTGATCTAAACTGGGACAGCGGCTGGGGCAGAAGGAGTGGACAGCAACTGCGGGTGGAACCGAGCTGGGCCCTGGAGTCCAGGCTGCTGGGACAGTTTTCCTGGTCTTGCAGCGTGGCGTAGGAGACCGGTAGTGCTGTTACCTGGTGCGTAAGGAACTCTGCGGATAGCAGGAGCCCGGAAGCCTCTTGGGCGGTAGAAATGAGGCCTTGCCGTGTGGGGCCTGGTGTGGGGCCTGTCATGCCCCTCTGCAACTTCCTGCAGGCTTAGCAGCTGCTCTGCTGTAGGAGGTGGCGCTGCAGAGCTGCTCCCGCTGGTTTTACCCGGAGTAAAGGGAAGAGCCCAGCCTCAGCGGCCTCCCGGTGCAAAAGCAGCCGTACGTTTCGAGAGCGCCGTCGAAGCGGCGCGTTGGCCAGGATCTGTCAGCCAAAGGCAGAAAACGCCCTCCCGGCTTTTTTCCATGTTAACCCTGGTTTTTGGAAAGGTTTTTGCGCTCTTTGGATGAAGAGCTGGCCAGAGTTGTCCTTGGTACGGACGAGCATCGCACCTGCTCGCGTGTATTTTGTCAGGGGCTGTAGGGTTGAGCCCACAAAACAGAGTCCTTCGACACCTCACAGCAGCAGAACGTCCACTCCTGGTACTGGCCAGTTTTCAGCGTTTTCCCAGTACCCCCTCGCCGGCGGAGGGGCTGAGAGCGCTGCGGGGGAAGCTCCCGGGCTGCGGTACCATTCGGATGAGCCATAGTAGAGGGAAAGGGCTGGCGCGTTCTCTTCAGGGTCTGGGTCACCACCGAGCGGGACGGCTGGCAGCCCCGGATGCGGCGGCTGGCTTCACCGAGCTGGCAGGGGGGAGCGAAGACGGCCACTGGGCTGACGGGAGGAGAGCCCATTTGGAAAGCTTGGCGCTTTCTGCGGAAGCGGTTTCTGTGGGGCAGTGACGGAAGGGGCGGAGGGACGTGTGGCTTCTCGCATCAGTCTGGGACCTTGCGCGTTTCCCAGGAAGTGGTGGAGGCAAAGGCAGACGGCGCAAGGGCTGAACGGTGGGTGAAGGTGTCCCAGTGTCTTGCGGGGTCTTTCCCAGCACTCCTGGGCCTGGATATGCTGCCCGACGGGTGCAGCGTTTGCCTGGCGGCCCAGGACAGCGCGGGGGGGTTGGAGGTGGTTGGCCAGGCCTGGAGCAGGAGATGGGAAAGCCCATCTCGGAGGTTCTGGGGGCAGAAGGATCAGGTAGACAGGGTGGTCCTCCTCGCGGATGAAGCCCGTGCCGCTTAACGCCGCGGGAGAGGGCAGGTCCTGCTCCTCCTGCTCGGGAGGGCCTGTTGACGCGTGTGCCTCCATGTGCTCTGCAGATGAACGATAACCTCGTCGAGAGCTGGAGCGACCTGGACGAGCTGAAAGGAGCGAGGAACTTGGCAACGGTCTACCTGGAGCGAAACCCCTTGCAGAAGGATCACCAGTACCGGCGCAAAATCATGCTGGCCCTTCCCACCGTCCGGCAGATCGACGCCACGTTTGTTCGATTCTGAACCTCCCGCTGCCCGCCCCCCTCCTCGGAGAAACGTCCCCGCTGGGTTTTTTATCCACTTACCACTCCCCTCGGGTGTTGGGTCCGCTGGCGCTCGCGTGCGCTGTGCTCGCCGGTTCGGAGGTGTCGTCGTCGTCATTAAACCGTAACGCCAGAGGCGTCCCCGGGCTCCCGTCTCGTACGTATGCGGGAGGTCTCGGCAGAAAGCGGCGGCGACAGAGGCCGCGCGCCCGCTCCGTGACATCCTCACATCTGGGTCGGGGGTTGAGAAGACGGTGCTGGCGTGGGGAAGGAGGGGAGAGGTACCCACCCGGGTCAGCGGGGGAGACAGCCCTGCGCGCGCGGCTCGGGGGGGAAGGGTGGACGCTCGGCGCTGACTTCGCTCTCTCCAGCAGCCGCGAGCTCACGAGGGGACGGAGGACGGACAGCTGGAGATAGGGAAGCAGCGTGGGGGCGGACCCGCGCGGATAAGCCGTCCCGGAGCCGCGGTAGGGTTTCGGTGGTTGAATGCCCAGGTGGGAGCTGGAAAAGGGGTTGAAGGGAGGGAGTGAGGTGAGAGGGGCTGTGGGTTCCACGTGAGGAAGTGAGGGATTTAGTCCCCATTACAGCTCCTTTAGTGGTAGTTGTGGCTTAGCAAAGTATCACAGACTGGTCTGGGTTGGAAGGGACCTTACAGACCACCCAGTCCCACCCCCCC